TGTTTTGCCAGGGTCAAGTCAAGTCAAACTTTATGTACCCTGCTAGGCGCATTTTTAACATTTTAGGGTATCAAACGCGGGTTAAGTAAAAGAACGTCTTGACAAAAGCAGAAGTTTATAAATGAATACAGAAGAAGGAAAAGGGCGCATTGGTGTCACTCAACTGAAAAATGCCCGCAGTCTTGAGCGCTGAGTGCATATTGAGAAACAGAATCCTCTTTTGTTCCAGTTGTCAGAGTATGGTTCGTGAGTTCAGTTCTTAACGGTGTTCAATTGACCAAAAGTTCGCGCCTAAAGCCAACAGACTGTGCACAGTATGCGGTATCTGGGCTTCGAATAAAAAATATCGGACGTTGACCTTGAAAGTACTTGGGACCAACATCTGTCAGCTTATACCTATAAAACATAGTATGTCAGTAGTAGATAAAGTGCAAATGATGTTCAATAAAAGGCAACGGCCGATTTAAAGACCTCGGCGAAGCCTTGAAGTTTGTCGGTCTGGCTGGCTAGCCGAACGACTTCCAGTTGGTGCCAGCTGGGTGGTTCGGGTTTAACACCTTCAAGTAAATCCTCATTCATTATTATACACGTCAGCTAGAGGTGGGAAGCACCTCAGCTACTGTACCGCCAGCAAATATTTCGACTGTAGTGATTCAGGACGTAATGGGTTTTCGCCTGGCAAGCGTTCTCCCTATAAAAGTCACAAATGTCTGCTTAACAACGCTGTGACATGGCGAATGTGACTCACCACTAAACAAAGTCACTGCTCAAGCTTACAATGACAAGCTGATCAGATCCACAGACGTCAAACCATTATTCAGACACCGGCGACGCGATTAAACTCATGCAAAAGGACAGTAACATTTTTACAAACACAAGCAACACACCTACCTACATACTTAAATTTATGCATCCACATATCTGGAAATTCTATTGTGCTATTTCCCATTTCTTGAGCAATTTTTGTATTATTACTATGATCACACATTTAAAGGCCTGCCTCGCGTGGCCGAGAATAAAAGTTTATTTATTTGTTTATGGTAATCATCCAGCAGGTGAAAAATTTGCAAAAATTTGGACCACTTTACAGGCTTCACAATGAAAAGTTTACAACATTCTTCTCAATGCTAGCAAAGGTGAGCATGCACGAAACTATGGTACCATATTACTTCGTCATGCGTTGAAGCAATGCATCAAAGGAAAGCATATCAAATTCTTGGAATAAAGAGTGAATGATTGCAAAACACTAGGCTATGCTGCCTGTCTGGATCTCTACCACGTAGCGCAGGTCAAATAGAATAACGAATTATGTTTGGGATATGACATTTACATGGACCTAGTGGACAAGGTAACAAGAGACGACACTATCACATCTCTCTGCCCATTTTCCAAAGCCTGTCAATTATGAAAGCTTTAACTGACAAATGCAGAATAACCAATAGGCTAGACAAGGGACCTGTCGACTTGAAGGCCTTGATGAAACTAATCAGGGTTGGTTATGACTGTCCACCCGCCTGAAACCACTGCACTCCATGACGCGTTTCGAGGTTATTTCCTCTCATCAGATAGAGATAGCAGGCATCGAACCCGGGACCATTGAGATGTTAGTTGTGACCGCCACCCGTAAGCCACCGGGTCACGACGGGCAAAGCTTGGCACAACGGCAAATAACAGATTGGAAAGTGAATTTGAAGTACACGTTGTGTGGATGGATTGCGACGCGCAATCTCAAAGTAGACGGCGATTCCCATTGAAGTGAACCTTGGCCATTCGATCACTAGGACCGTAGCTGATGAAGCAGCAGCAACTTGGGTGTTGCCCGCCTGAAACCACTGCACTCCATGACGCGTTTCGAGGTTATTTCCTCTCATCAGATAGAGATAGCAGGCATCGAACCCGGGACCATTGAGATGTTAGTTGTGACCGCCACCCCTAAGCCACCGGGTCACGACGGGCAAAGCTTGGCACAACGGCAAATAACAGATTGGAAAGTGAATTTGAAGTACACGTTGTGTGGATGGATTGCGACGCGCAATCTCAAAGTAGACCGCGATTCCCATTGAAGTGAACCTTGGCCATTCGATCACTAGGACCGTAGCTGATGAAGCAGCAGCAAATTGGGTGTTGCCCGCCTGAAACCACTGCACTCCATGACGCGTTTCGAGGTTATTTCCTCTCATCAGATAGAGATAGCAGGCATCGAACCCGGGACCATTGAGATGTTAGTTGTGACCGCCACCCCTAAGCCACCGGGTCACGACGGGCAAAGCTTGGCACAACGGCAAATAACAGATTGGAAAGTGAATTTGAAGTACACGTTGTGTGGATGGATTGCGACGCGCAATCTCAAAGTAGACGGCGATTCCCATTGAAGTGAACCTTGGCCATTCGATCACTAGGACCGTAGCTGATGAAGCAGCAGCAAATTGGGTGTTGCCCGCCTGAAACCACTGCACTCCATGACGCGTTTCGAGGTTATTTCCTCTCATCAGATAGAGATAGCAGGCATCGAACCCGGGACCATTGAGATGTTAGTTGTGACCGCCACCCCTAAGCCACCGGGTCACGACGGGCAAAGCTTGGCACAACGGCAAATAACAGATTGGAAAGTGAATTTGAAGTACACGTTGTGTGGATGGATTGCGACGCGCAATCTCAAAGTAGACCGCGATTCCCATTGAAGTGAACCTTGGCCATTCGATCACTAGGACCGTAGCTGATGAAGCAGCAGCAACTTGGGTGTTGCCCGCCTGAAACCACTGCACTCCATGACGCGTTTCGAGGTTATTTCCTCTCATCAGATAGAGATAGCAGGCATCGAACCCGGGACCATTGAGATGTTAGTTGTGACCGCCACCCGTAAGCCACCGGGTCACGACGGGCAAAGCTTGGCACAACGGCAAATAACAGATTGGAAAGTGAATTTGAAGTACACGTTGTGTGGATGGATTGCGACGCGCAATCTCAAAGTAGACCGCGATTCCCATTGAAGTGAACCTTGGCCATTCGATCACTAGGACCGTAGCTGATGAAGCAGCAGCAACTTGGGTGTTGCCCGCCTGAAACCACTGCACTCCATGACGCGTTTCGAGGTTATTTCCTCTCATCAGATAGAGATAGCAGGCATCGAACCCGGGACCATTGAGATGTTAGTTGTGACCGCCACCCCTAAGCCACCGGGTCACGACGGGCAAAGCTTGGCACAACGGCAAATAACAGATTGGAAAGTGAATTTGAAGTACACGTTGTGTGGATGGATTGCGACGCGCAATCTCAAAGTAGACCGCGATTCCCATTGAAGTGAACCTTGGCCATTCGATCACTAGGACCGTAGCTGATGAAGCAGCAGCAACTTGGGTGTTGCCCGCCTGAAACCACTGCACTCCATGACGCGTTTCGAGGTTATTTCCTCTCATCAGATAGAGATAGCAGGCATCGAACCCGGGACCATTGAGATGTTAGTTGTGACCGCCACCCCTAAGCCACCGGGTCACGACGGGCAAAGCTTGGCACAACGGCAAATAACAGATTGGAAAGTGAATTTGAAGTACACGTTGTGTGGATGGATTGCGACGCGCAATCTCAAAGTAGACCGCGATTCCCATTGAAGTGAACCTTGGCCATTCGATCACTAGGACCGTAGCTGATGAAGCAGCAGCAACTTGGGTGTTGCCCGCCTGAAACCACTGCACTCCATGACGCGTTTCGAGGTTATTTCCTCTCATCAGATAGAGATAGCAGGCATCGAACCCGGGACCATTGAGATGTTAGTTGTGACCGCCACCCCTAAGCCACCGGGTCACGACGGGCAAAGCTTGGCACAACGGCAAATAACAGATTGGAAAGTGAATTTGAAGTACACGTTGTGTGGATGGATTGCGACGCGCAATCTCAAAGTAGACCGCGATTCCCATTGAAGTGAACCTTGGCCATTCGATCACTAGGACCGTAGCTGATGAAGCAGCAGCAACTTGGGTGTTGCCCGCCTGAAACCACTGCACTCCATGACGCGTTTCGAGGTTATTTCCTCTCATCAGATAGAGATAGCAGGCATCGAACCCGGGACCATTGAGATGTTAGTTGTGACCGCCACCCCTAAGCCACCGGGTCACGACGGGCAAAGCTTGGCACAACGGCAAATAACAGATTGGAAAGTGAATTTGAAGTACACGTTGTGTGGATGGATTGCGACGCGCAATCTCAAAGTAGACGGCGATTCCCATTGAAGTGAACCTTGGCCATTCGATCACTAGGACCGTAGCTGATGAAGCAGCAGCAACTTGGGTGTTGCCCGCCTGAAACCACTGCACTCCATGACGCGTTTCGAGGTTATTTCCTCTCATCAGATAGAGATAGCAGGCATCGAACCCGGGACCATTGAGATGTTAGTTGTGACCGCCACCCCTAAGCCACCGGGTCACGACGGGCAAAGCTTGGCACAACGGCAAATAACAGATTGGAAAGTGAATTTGAAGTACACGTTGTGTGGATGGATTGCGACGCGCAATCTCAAAGTAGACGGCGATTCCCATTGAAGTGAACCTTGGCCATTCGATCACTAGGACCGTAGCTGATGAAGCAGCAGCAACTTGGGTGTTGCCCGCCTGAAACCACTGCACTCCATGACGCGTTTCGAGGTTATTTCCTCTCATCAGATAGAGATAGCAGGCATCGAACCCGGGACCATTGAGATGTTAGTTGTGACCGCCACCCGTAAGCCACCGGGTCACGACGGGCAAAGCTTGGCACAACGGCAAATAACAGATTGGAAAGTGAATTTGAAGTACACGTTGTGTGGATGGATTGCGACGCGCAATCTCAAAGTAGACCGCGATTCCCATTGAAGTGAACCTTGGCCATTCGATCACTAGGACCGTAGCTGATGAAGCAGCAGCAACTTGGGTGTTGCCCGCCTGAAACCACTGCACTCCATGACGCGTTTCGAGGTTATTTCCTCTCATCAGATAGAGATAGCAGGCATCGAACCCGGGACCATTGAGATGTTAGTTGTGACCGCCACCCGTAAGCCACCGGGTCACGACGGGCAAAGCTTGGCAATCGCAAAGGGGGGGGGGGGGGGGGGGGGGGGGGGGTTGGGGTGTGGGGGGGGGGGGGGGGGGGGGGGGGGGGGGGGGGGGGGGGGGGGGGGGGGGGGGGGGGGGGGGGGGGGGGGGGGGGGGGGGGGGGGGGGGGGGGGGGGGGGGGGGGGGGGGGGGGGGGGGGGGGGGGGGGGGGGGGGGGGGGGGGGGGGGGGGGGGGGGGGGGGGGGGGGGGGGGGGGGGGGGGGGGGGGGGGGGGGGGGGGGGGGGGGGGGGGGGGGGGGGGGGGGGGGGGGGGGGGGGGGGGGGGGGGGGGGGGGGGGGGGGGGGGGGGGGGGGGGGGGGGGGGGGGGGGGGGGGGGGGGGGGGGGGGGGGGGGGGGGGGGGGGGGGGGGGGGGGGGGGGGGGGGGGGGGGGTGGGGGGTGGGGGGGGGGGTGGGGTGGGGGGGGGGGGGGGGGTTGGTGGGGTGGGGGGGGTGGGTGGGGGGGGGGTGGGGGGGGGGGGGGTGGGGGGGGGGGGGGGTGGTGTGGGGGGGGGTGTGGTTTGTGGGTTGGGGGTGGTTGGTGTGGGGGGATGGATTGAGACGGTCTAAAGTGGAAATAAGGGAAATGGACGATTAGACGTAGGTGTTGATGGATGATTAGGGGGGTGAAAAATTTAATGTAAGTTTGAGAGTACAGCTCATCAGATAGAGATAGCAGGCATCGAACCCGGGACCATTGAGATGTTAGTTGTGACCGCCACCCCTAAGCCACCGGGTCACGACGGGCAAAGCTTGGCACAACGGCAAATAACAGATTGGAAAGTGAATTTGAAGTACACGTTGTGTGGATGGATTGCGACGCGCAATCTCAAAGTAGACCGCGATTCCCATTGAAGTGAACCTTGGCCATTCGATCACTAGGACCGTAGCTGATGAAGCAGCAGCAACTTTGGTGTTGCCCGCCTGAAACCACTGCACTCCATGACGCGTTTCGAGGTTATTTCCTCTCATCAGATAGAGATAGCAGGCATCGAACCCGGGACCATTGAGATGTTAGTTGTGACCGCCACCCCTAAGCCACCGGGTCACGACGGGCAAAGCTTGGCACAACGGCAAATAACAGATTGGAAAGTGAATTTGAAGTACACGTTGTGTGGATGGATTGCGACGCGCAATCTCAAAGTAGACCGCGATTCCCATTGAAGTGAACCTTGGCCATTCGATCACTAGGACCGTAGCTGATGAAGCAGCAGCAACTTTGGTGTTGCCCGCCTGAAACCACTGCACTCCATGACGCGTTTCGAGGTTATTTCCTCTCATCAGATAGAGATAGCAGGCATCGAACCCGGGACCATTGAGATGTTAGTTGTGACCGCCACCCCTAAGCCACCGGGTCACGACGGGCAAAGCTTGGCACAACGGCAAATAACAGATTGGAAAGTGAATTTGAAGTACACGTTGTGTGGATGGATTGCGACGCGCAATCTCAAAGTAGACCGCGATTCCCATTGAAGTGAACCTTGGCCATTCGATCACTAGGACCGTAGCTGATGAAGCAGCAGCAACTTGGGTGTTGCCCGCCTGAAACCACTGCACTCCATGACGCGTTTCGAGGTTATTTCCTCTCATCAGATAGAGATAGCAGGCATCGAACCCGGGACCATTGAGATGTTAGTTGTGACCGCCACCCCTAAGCCACCGGGTCACGACGGGCAAAGCTTGGCACAACGGCAAATAACAGATTGGAAAGTGAATTTGAAGTACACGTTGTGTGGATGGATTGCGACGCGCAATCTCAAAGTAGACCGCGATTCCCATTGAAGTGAACCTTGGCCATTCGATCACTAGGACCGTAGCTGATGAAGCAGCAGCAACTTGGGTGTTGCCCGCCTGAAACCACTGCACTCCATGACGCGTTTCGAGGTTATTTCCTCTCATCAGATAGAGATAGCAGGCATCGAACCCGGGACCATTGAGATGTTAGTTGTGACCGCCACCCCTAAGCCACCGGGTCACGACGGGCAAAGCTTGGCACAACGGCAAATAACAGATTGGAAAGTGAATTTGAAGTACACGTTGTGTGGATGGATTGCGACGCGCAATCTCAAAGTAGACCGGCGATTCCCATTGAAGTGAACCTTGGCCATTCGATCACTAGGACCGTAGCTGATGAAGCAGCAGCAACTTGGGTGTTGCCCGCCTGAAACCACTGCACTCCATGACGCGTTTCGAGGTTATTTCCTCTCATCAGATAGAGATAGCAGGCATCGAACCCGGGACCATTGAGATGTTAGTTGTGACCGCCACCCCTAAGCCACCGGGTCACGACGGGCAAAGCTTGGCACAACGGCAAATAACAGATTGGAAAGTGAATTTGAAGTACACGTTGTGTGGATGGATTGCGACGCGCAATCTCAAAGTAGACCGCGATTCCCATTGAAGTGAACCTTGGCCATTCGATCACTAGGACCGTAGCTGATGAAGCAGCAGCAACTTTGGTGTTGCCCGCCTGAAACCACTGCACTCCATGACGCGTTTCGAGGTTATTTCCTCTCATCAGATAGAGATAGCAGGCATCGAACCCGGGACCATTGAGATGTTAGTTGTGACCGCCACCCCTAAGCCACCGGGTCACGACGGGCAAAGCTTGGCACAACGGCAAATAACAGATTGGAAAGTGAATTTGAAGTACACGTTGTGTGGATGGATTGCGACGCGCAATCTCAAAGTAGACCGCGATTCCCATTGAAGTGAACCTTGGCCATTCGATCACTAGGACCGTAGCTGATGAAGCAGCAGCAACTTGGGTGTTGCCCGCCTGAAACCACTGCACTCCATGACGCGTTTCGAGGTTATTTCCTCTCATCAGATAGAGATAGCAGGCATCGAACCCGGGACCATTGAGATGTTAGTTGTGACCGCCACCCCTAAGCCACCGGGTCACGACGGGCAAAGCTTGGCACAACGGCAAATAACAGATTGGAAAGTGAATTTGAAGTACACGTTGTGTGGATGGATTGCGACGCGCAATCTCAAAGTAGACCGCGATTCCCATTGAAGTGAACCTTGGCCATTCGATCACTAGGACCGTAGCTGATGAAGCAGCAGCAACTTGGGTGTTGCCCGCCTGAAACCACTGCACTCCATGACGCGTTTCGAGGTTATTTCCTCTCATCAGATAGAGATAGCAGGCATCGAACCCGGGACCATTGAGATGTTAGTTGTGACCGCCACCCCTAAGCCACCGGGTCACGACGGGCAAAGCTTGGCACAACGGCAAATAACAGATTGGAAAGTGAATTTGAAGTACACGTTGTGTGGATGGATTGCGACGCGCAATCTCAAAGTAGACCGCGATTCCCATTGAAGTGAACCTTGGCCATTCGATCACTAGGACCGTAGCTGATGAAGCAGCAGCAACTTGGGTGTTGCCCGCCTGAAACCACTGCACTCCATGACGCGTTTCGAGGTTATTTCCTCTCATCAGATAGAGATAGCAGGCATCGAACCCGGGACCATTGAGATGTTAGTTGTGACCGCCACCCCTAAGCCACCGGGTCACGACGGGCAAAGCTTGGCACAACGGCAAATAACAGATTGGAAAGTGAATTTGAAGTACACGTTGTGTGGATGGATTGCGACGCGCAATCTCAAAGTAGACCGCGATTCCCATTGAAGTGAACCTTGGCCATTCGATCACTAGGACCGTAGCTGATGAAGCAGCAGCAACTTGGGTGTTGCCCGCCTGAAACCACTGCACTCCATGACGCGTTTCGAGGTTATTTCCTCTCATCAGATAGAGATAGCAGGCATCGAACCCGGGACCATTGAGATGTTAGTTGTGACCGCCACCCCTAAGCCACCGGGTCACGACGGGCAAAGCTTGGCACAACGGCAAATAACAGATTGGAAAGTGAATTTGAAGTACACGTTGTGTGGATGGATTGCGACGCGCAATCTCAAAGTAGACCGCGATTCCCATTGAAGTGAACCTTGGCCATTCGATCACTAGGACCGTAGCTGATGAAGCAGCAGCAACTTGGGTGTTGCCCGCCTGAAACCACTGCACTCCATGACGCGTTTCGAGGTTATTTCCTCTCATCAGATAGAGATAGCAGGCATCGAACCCGGGACCATTGAGATGTTAGTTGTGACCGCCACCCCTAAGCCACCGGGTCACGACGGGCAAAGCTTGGCACAACGGCAAATAACAGATTGGAAAGTGAATTTGAAGTACACGTTGTGTGGATGGATTGCGACGCGCAATCTCAAAGTAGACCGCGATTCCCATTGAAGTGAACCTTGGCCATTCGATCACTAGGACCGTAGCTGATGAAGCAGCAGCAACTTGGGTGTTGCCCGCCTGAAACCACTGCACTCCATGACGCGTTTCGAGGTTATTTCCTCTCATCAGATAGAGATAGCAGGCATCGAACCCGGGACCATTGAAAT